CACTAAACAAATTAACCTGTCTTGTTAAAGATAAGCCAGACAAGTTATTATCCTGATTGTAGATAAGCCAAATTTAGGCTCCTAATAGTAGCTGATCATTATCGTTATTTAAGATAGTTTTAGTAACAAAAAAAAATGGATTGCGATGCACTTATGTAATACTAATAAAACAAGATCGCCGTGAAGGCAATTGCAGCATATTAGTAATTACACCCGTTACGGCAATCATATTACTGTAATTACAAAACTACAGTAATTACCCATTACGGCAATTAGCAATACAGCATATTACAACTTTGGGCACTGGGTTATAACCCAGGTTGTAATTCGTAATGTCCGTAACTATTACTTACGGCTGACAACCTTACTTTTAGTACTTTAACTAAAATGTATAACTTTTTCTTTCTTCTTATACAGAAGTTCAAAATTCCCTGTAACAACATACATCTAGAAATTATTTATGGTCGGATTTTATTGTAAACCAATTAAAATTGATAAAATGATCTACATTTTAAGCAGCCAATAAAAATCCGTAATTTGCGGACACGCAAAAATCTGCTCTACCTGACCAATGTCCTTCGGACAATTATAAAACTTAATGCAAATGTGTCAATGCAGTTAATGCAGTTAAAAATATGCATACGTAGCATTAAAAAAATGTATACGTAAAGAAAAAAAATGTATAAAGAAAGTAAGGGTGCAGACGCATATAAAATTATATGTGTCAGTGCAATATGAATACGTAATGCATCTAAAAATGTATAGTGTAATAAAGAAAGTAAAGGTTGCAGAGATACATATAAGTTCATTACAAAATTAGATAACTAACAAATATGTGTCAGTGCAATATGTCAAGCACTCATTTAAATAATAATAGGTATTGTATTCTTTATATTTAATTTCGCATAGAAACGTTGAAATTATATTCCTTGGATTTCAAACTTGGTGTAATGAATTGTAGCAGTTCAACTTCTTGATTTTCAATGTCTTTGAAATTATACCGATGTAACAAGATGGCGATTGTCAGTCTAAGTTCCATCATAGCAAAACTATTTAAATAGTAAAAAAACATGTTATTATATATATAAAAAAAAAAATCAACAAAATAATAAAAAGGATTCAAATTACTTGAGCCCTATGCAATTTCGAGCTCCTGTTAATAATTCATTTTAAAAAGATTAATTTATAATTAACACTTAAAAGTATATAACCTATTTTGAAATTTTTATGAAAATATACCAGCTGAAAACGGAATAAAGCAGTCAGATGTTAATTTTTCAGGTTCCAACCATCGTTCTGGCACAAATTCTTTAGCATTTTCTCCCCAATATTCTTTTGATATATGAAGCTCTAATGTGTTTGATACCACTATTGTCTATATAAAAGAAAAATAAATTTTAATTAAATTATACTACGTAACAATGGCATAAAAATGACAACGGAAAATTTTTATTAACCCCTTTTGGAATGAAATATCCACCGAGAACCAAATCTTCTGAAGCCTCTTTACCTGGTCCTTTTTTTTTTAAAAAAAAAACGATAAATAACAAAATATTCTTGAGACTTAAGCAATATATATTTATCTTACAATATAACTTACAAAGAAATTAGACATAGTTACCAAAATCTGCATTAAGGAGTAAAAAGTAATTAATGACCGGTAATAAAATTTTCGATCAAAAAATAAGATAAAATACCTCTACTAGTAGGGAAAAGCCTAAGCCCTTCATTAATAACCCCATTTAAATAAGGTAAATGTTTTATTTTGTCGTGAGTTGGAACTTCGTCACTGCTAATTCCTACTAAAGCTTCATCGATTTCTTTAACTAATTTCTCCAATACTTTAGGATGTTTGACTATCATTATCATTATCATTGTTGCCGTGAAGCTTGTTGTTTCGCTCCCTGAAATTCTTTTTTCCCATGAGAAAAAATAAATTAAAATTAG